ATGATTACTGTTCCTTTTATAGATTAAACACTGCTAATATAAATTCCCTGGTTTTAACATAATCAGATACAATTAAAGTTTTGTATATAATTTTAAATGTGTTATGACCCTAAAGCCACTGGACAGGACAGCGCACAGTTTCAGTGTGTTTGTCTGACTTAGGTCTAAATGAGGTTCCTTTGTGCTACTTGTTGTCATAAAACCCTGCATTATAACTACCAGATACACAAGAGAAATTTGGTGTACCATTTCAAAAATAAATATGACACATTTGACAAAAACAAAACATCTACTATATAAAATCAAGTATAAAGAAATATACGCAATGAAAATCTTGCCTTCTACTCAATTAAAATTTGCGAACGGCCTATTTTCACCCGGTGCTTGTGCTCATCGCCGATCATGCCGCGTTCGCCCTCAGCTCTCTGGGATGTCATTGTTTAGTGGCGCCGGTTTGCATGTTGTCACCTGTATCCCATTAAGAAAATTCTCACCTCAGCAGCAGCAACAGCAGCAGCAGCCCCCCCACTCACATGCCGAGCCCACTCTTTTTTTCTTTCCTCCATCACTACCCACAATCCCACACCTGGTCTACTGCCCTTTTTCTGATGCATGTTTTGTGGAGTTGGCCTTTTCTCTCTGTGTTTTCTGCTACGCTTCGTGGAGACCTTGAGAATCACGGCTCTTCAGCATTTATATCTGGTCTGCGTTTTTTAGCTTTTCATTCAGTCCCTTTCTCTTGACCCACACATTTTCAGTCCCATCCATAAGAGAAGTCTAGTGCAGATGAGGTTTTTGCATTGTGGAAATATTGGTTGCACCTCAGTGGCTTGGGTCAGGGGCAATCATAAGCCCCACACAGAAGTTTCTTCTGCAAACTTGAGATGCAGAAAAAATGCTGCTACTAGGCAAGCTCATGTTTTGAGGCAACATTTGAATACATTTTTTAGTAAATTAAATGTTTTGTCTAACAATTCCTGAGTTTCGTAATTGTAATTGTAATTGTATTGTTTATTTGGTTGGGACGGTGATTGTTAATGGACACACCTCTACGGATTGTTGGCTTGGGCGGATTTGCTTCCGCTGTCCCATAGTCGCACTCACAGACACACTCTCATTCACCCTTATCTATTATACATGTTTTTAGCGGTAGGAGAAACCAGAGCACCCAGAGCAAACCTATGCAGACAATGGGGAGAACATGCAAACTCCACACAAAGGCCCTGTCCGAAGGAGGAATTGATGTGAAGTGCTAACCAGTCTTTCACAGTCACAAAGATTGCACACAAGCAATGTGTAAACTCCACTGAATTGAATATGAGACGAAGCACTCAAACTATAAGAGAGGTAATTCTATGATTTGATGAGTTTGATTTGTTTAGAAACAAGAAATATTTACACATATTTTATTAAAATAATTAAAAAACAAGTTAAATATTTTAAAATGGTACACAAACAAATTCAGAAATGCTTGCTAGGTTTGAAATGACTAATCCTTGTCTGGTAATGATGACACTTGAGGCTGACACATATGTCTGTGTAGTCCTTCAACATGTAAAGGTGGACCAGGCTGTGGGGTTGTCATCTGCCAGCGACAGGCGCTCGGTGGGATGTAGCAGCTTCCGTAGAAACAGCCCCATTCCAATCATCTACATGCCATAACCTTACGCCCGGCTTTGTCCACACTTCCCCCGACATGTATTTGTGTCGCCGCAGCAGGTCTGACCACTGAGCAGTTCTCTGGACGGAGCAGAAGGAAAATGCATTTCTCTGATTAAATATCTGGTGACTGTTCTACATGCTGTCAGCACCATGTTAGTGTTCCCCTCTGCCCATTTATGCTTCTGCGTACTTCACTCCTCTGCTTCCTCTTGTCCAATGCTATATTGTTTCACTTCATAATATACTGTCCATTGTTGAATAATATATTATTTAAAAAGTTGATTAAATAGGACAAACGTACACACAAATCAATCTATTCAGACAAGTTGAAGAGGGAAGCTGTGAAATTCAATGGTCAAATCTTGTCAAATCTGGTTTTACACTGTGAGAGGCAAATGCAGTGCCTTACCACACCAGCAGGGGATGTATTAATTGACATGTATGATTGGATACAAATATATGCATTGCTAATTAAGACAAAAACATGTTTTCAGCCTATTTCATGTTATTAGTTTGACTGATTTGCCCAGCCTATGTTGGCAGAAGCTCACAAACACAGCATGGCCTATAACTTCAAATAACTTGATTGTTCTACTTTCTTCAGAGGGTATTGCTGTATATGGGTCACACGTTTTGGAAGGTAGAGATGTGGGAAGAAGCTTATCTTTTTTTGAACATTTTGCCCGTTTCCATTCCAAGAGTCACCTCAAAACCCTAATTAACAGAGAGAAAGCCATGAAATCAAACTTTACTAATCCCAAAGGTGCCGGTGCCGGCAACTGGCAAAGACGATGTGAATGCCACTCTCTTCTTCCACTTTTTTCCTTTAGCTCAACCGTGTTTGTTTACTGTGCTTTTTGTCTGGCATTGCAAAGCAGAATATCAAAGAAAAATAAGTTGAATAGAATGCGTTGATGAAATACAGGGCAAAGGTCTTAAAACATTAAATCTGGCTCACAGTAAAATTATACTTGATGTGTGTAGCATATTCATATGCATTAGGGCCCAGAGTATTTGTATGCATTTTCATTTGTCAGGGGCAACAAGTGTATGTTCAGTGTCAGTGAAGGTTAGAGCATGTGGAATAGAAGAGCAGAGTGGCGCTCCTGTGTGACACTGGGGTTGTAGACAAGGGTTAAGCAGGGAATAGGGAATAGTCCTGGGGTAATAGGATGGGGGCGGTGGGTTGATGAAGGGTGAACAAAGGTGATGCAGTGTTTCGCGACACGACACTGTGATATGCTTTGTTGGCTCATTTGATAGGAGCATGTGAGTGAAGGAGCGCACCCTCCAGGGAAATTTAATAGCAGTCAACATCAGCCTTTACAATATGAAAGTAAAAAATAGGGTAAATATACCAGACAGGGCGAGAGGAATAACTCAGCTATGTGTGTCGTAAATGGCTGGACTATCTCCCTTTATGATTAGCCAGTGGGCCAACTTATGATGGCTACCCTTCATTTCAGTTATCACCTGAACTGTGTAGTATTGAACAGCCTGCGCACATTTCATTAAACATGGAGACTCCAGGGTCTCTCCTCGGTTCTCCACATATCTGTTTGATTTCGCTGATATTTATCAGCTACATTACAGTCATTGCTCCGTGTCTTGACAGAAATGGAACTGTGAGAGGTGACTTAGTCCCATGTGTGACGTATTATCCTGAAAACCAGGCACAATCTGATGGGCTCTGAACTTCAGAGTCTGTGTCAAGGGCCCAATAGCATCTTGAAAAGGGTACCAGGCGAACACTTAACCTTCCATTAATTGTCTTCCATGCATAACCACTTGTTAATTACTTGCAGACCTAAAACGGTTTCCAAAGCTGGTTATAAAAGGTCACTTATACTGTTTAATGAACAGTCTCAGTGGCTCTCATGGCCTGCTACTAGCTAAGGTGTCTGAAGTTGTAACAAAAATGCCGCCTTGAAATAAGAGGTAGCCTTTTGTCTATTGTTAAGACTGTCCATCAGTTATAATCCTATAGTGTCCTGGAGTAGAATATAAATCTCATCCTATTCAACATGCACGTCAAATACTCATGTTAAGTTGAGGTAATATGTAAGCTGTGTGAATATGCAAGATGGCAATTAATAACCTTCATAACTTCATTGCATGCTCTTACACCCCTCCCTCATCTCATTAGCCTCTGTCCCCATTCCCTTTATCTCTCTTACCTTGTCTGCATAAGGAGAAGTATACATTCTTTGTAGTGACAGTACTATCACACAGGGTCATCATTTTGCCTTTCCACACAGAGTATAACGATAAGCACTTGTGTTATTTTAAAGAAACAGTTCAAAGAGAGAAGCGATAATACAGCGATAATGTTATTATAGAGAAAAGGTTTTACATGATGCACATTAAGTTTTGTCCTCTTTTCATGTCCCAAGAATGATTACCTTTAAGTATCTTCCTGCGCTTTAGAGAAGCTTATGAAATCCTCTGAATGGTAGCTTAGCAACTAAATGAACTTTACGACTTATTCAAGTATTTAAGAATGTCCTTAGTTGCTCTACGTTATATATTTTTTCTGATAGATCAGATGGGTTTTTCCACTTCAGAATGTTACATCTTGTGGCTGGAAGATTTGTTGTATGTATTAATACACTATTGCAGGTTTTTATTATTTTTTATTTTTTTATTTTAGACTAAGGAGAATGTGATATTATCTCATTAATTTTGTGAGGGTCTGCAACCTTTTCAAGGGACACACATTAGAAGTATGCAATCTCAGCTGTACTTCATTGTATTTTCTCACCTCTTTCATTTTGCACTTCTTACTCCTTCACTTTCCTGCCCCTTTTAATAGCTCTTGGTATTGTCTTGGTCTTTGCTGACAACAAAGGGGATAAATGCAATGCCTACTGTAAGTCCCTGTGGTTAGGCCTTGGACATGACACGTGTCAGCCTATGATAAATTGGCTGTGTGTCTGTTCAATTTCAAATGCAAAGCTCTGGAGAAAGTGAAGGAGAAGAGGAGAAAGAAAAGAAAAAGAAAGAGCATGGAAGAAGAGGCAAGGGGGAGAGCCCAGGCAAATGCTTGGCTGTGGGACAGGGGCAAGCATCAGATGCTGCTATTGTTAACGTGTTGGCTAAAGATAAGCAATTGCTTAGTTTGTCAGGGGAACGCTTACTTTCTAGTTATGAAGGTGACATTTGGCACCAAGCCAGGGGTGCTGGATTTATTAAACAGATGCAAAACGTATGACATCTGTTTTCTTATCCTTCTATTTTCTTTTTTTTTTTTAACTTGTGATTTTTGCCCTGGGATGGAGTGATTTGTAAAGAGAGGCCGACTGCAGTGCTTCAGATGCTTGGTTAATAATCTGCGTGTGCTAATCAGTGCAGCTGGGATGGGTGAGTTGGCGCTCTGACACCATGCAGTCATGCAGAGCTGGGGAAGAGCAGAACATGAGCCAAATCCAGCTTGTTTTTCCCAAGCTGAGCATCATGGGGTGCTGCCGGGGCGAAAAGGGAAACGAGGGCTTCTGTACGGGTGTGAGCTCTGCTTGCTCAATTGTCTGTATAAAAACAGAAGGATGACGCTTATAGTATTGACTCTACAATTAAGTATTGTCATGATCAAAGTATTCTAGAGCTGCAACTAACGATAATTTTGTAATCGATTAATCTATTGATTATTTTTACGATTAATCGAGTAATCGCTTGGCTGTGAATTGTGTAGACATTTTTTATTTTTTCATCACAAAAAGCTAAAGTGGCAACACTCGAGGACGTATTGATGGCGTAAACTTAAAGTAAATGTTTGTAACAGGCTCTTTGTGCTAATTCTGCTATCTGATTGGATGAGACAGACAGATATTCATGAAATTAGAAAAACAAAGTCGGTTTTAATCAAAAATACTACATTTTCATGTAATTTTTGCTCTGTTTGAGTCCGTGTGAACCAGAAAACGATTAATCGATTACTAAAATAGTTGTCGACTATAATCGATTAGTCGTCGATTAATCGATTAGTTGTTTCAGCCCTAAAGTATTCCTGAACGTTATCCAGTTGACTTTTTTTTTAATAGTATTTTTCCAAAGTCCAAAGTGCAAAGTGCTCACAGAATTGCATATAAAAAATGAGATATAAAAAGCAGAAATATATTAATGAAATAACAACATTAACACTTGTTCCCTCACAAAAATGGCGACGCCCCTCAGACCACACAAGATTTTATGTGGGACCAGTCCTTTGGGGGATTTACGAACAAACAACAGCTTATACCGTAGATATCAATATAAACGTTGAAGAGGAAGCCAATGCAAACATGCAAGAATGGCTGTTTTTATTTCCTGTTAAAAGCTGTCATGCAGAGTTCTGGACTAACTACAGATGGTAAAGTGTGAAATACCTGAGTATGGTCCGTGAGAGTAGTCCAGGTGTGAGGAAATAAAGACATGATGCAACTAAGCCATTGGATAAATACCTCATATGATAGCCAATGTTAAATCACTGTATCTATGGTGATGCCGAGGTTAGTGACTGTAGAGGATGACTGATTACTGATCACGCCGATATTGGCCAATCTTGATATATCGGTTGCTGCCAATTCTTATTCTTATTTTTCTAGTCAGATTATTATATAACATCTTTCTGTCTGGAGTTAGTATGATCTCCCGTGTCTGAATAGCTTTCCTCCAGGTTCTCAGGTGTCCCCCCTAAAAATATGTTCAATATGTCTGGCATGAACCCCCTGTATGGCGACCCCATTCCCATATCTGTGAGTTAGAGGACAAATGCCCAGAACACTTGTTAAGCGCTTTGTGACTCTGCTCTGTGAAAGGTGCTTTATAAATAAAGTAATTACTTACTTACTTACATTATCAAACATTGACAGAAAGATAGAATTATGTTAAATATGAAATAAATCTAATGAAGTATGAAGGGGATGCGATTGGCCTACCTGAAAGGTAATCTTTTTTATAATGTGTCTGGTGATGTGTTTTGCAAGTGTTTTTAATGTGTCTTTTAAATCACATACTTTTTGCCTTTCATTCACATATTTTTTTTCTATGATTGGACTCATTTTCACCCTGGGCAATCTTGATATTATATAGAAAGTGAATCACGTTTCTTTACATGCCTGTTTGACCTTTAAATGTCATTTGCGAATATGTTGAGGTGGCTCAGTGCTAAGTCTGAAATTTGAGTTAACGTTTATCTCATTCCTTTATCCAAAAGGCCCTGGAGAAGCCAAGAAAGAACATCAGTATATTTCTAGACATTAGGAGGGTTAACAACTAAATAGCTTTGGACACATAGTAGCACAGACAAACAATACAAATATTTAAAACCAATTAGGATGGTAATTACCAACATCTTTTTTTATTTGTTTTTGACATAAAACAAACAAGCATTATCAACAGAAAACAGTTAGAAAAAGTACATATTAATAGATCGACAGTTCAGCTACAGTCATTGTGAATATGGCAGTCTAAATTGGCATAAAGTAAGGTCCTACACATGCAAGGCCTTGACTTTGCTGAGCCAGGACTAGCTGTTTCCTCTGTGATCTATCTATGGCTGAACTCTGACACCTCATCTGCTGTACTGACGAGACGTTGCTGGGCCTTAATTGAAGTGGGTTTGTCTCATCCCTTCTCTCCAATGATCCTCTTCTCTATGGGTCACTGAGAGGTGGGGGGAACCCCTTGGGCAGGCCGCATTGGTGGGATTGCTATTTGCCTCCTACCGCCCCGGTGAGAGGATGTTAGATTGAAGTTATTTTATGCTTGGCTTACCTCTCCATTCCACTCTTCTGCATCATATCTTCTGTTCTCTTCCACTTCCTTCCAGTTTTTCTCCCTGGCCTTGTGCTCCCACAACCGCACCATTCTTAAAACCTCTCATGCAGTAAGACTGGAGGAAGGCATCCGTTGCAGTGTGAAACTGCTGTGGTGTTATGGAGATTTTATTATTTAATAGGCATACTTTTTCCCAGGAGAGTAACATTCAAAAGGTCCTCATTTGTTTGTTGTCATTTTGTGAATAGTGTAAAGTGTGCAGGTTGTAGTAGGCACTATGCTTGATTTTGAAAGTTGTGTAGTTGCAACATAAAACTGTACATCCTAAGTGTTGATCCCTTTTGTAAAATGTTCTGTTATGGCATTGTGTGGTGTCAGGGCTGTTTGCTGCTCTAAGTGTTGTGCGCATTAGAGGGATGAGGGTAATGAGGTGCGAGGCAGTTGTGTTTTGTGCCAGGGCGACCCTGCGGCTCACATCCCATTCTCTGCCCAATGTGTTTCTGATTCTCTTCATCCCTCATCAGTAGTCACCGCCTTTGACAGCAACTGCATATAAAGTCAGCCCACAAGCACATGTACCCGCAATGTAGGCTGACATGCATTATGAATAGATATGTTGTGAAGGAAGACAGGCATTTAAGTGTTAAAGATGAAGTTCTTTCATTTCAAGCCACAAACATTGAACTATATGATATAATTGCACTAGTCCTTCGCTCTCAAAACAGTTTGTTTCTATCACTAGTGTTCACCTTCCTTTTTCTTTGTCCTCAAATTCCTTTGTCACATTTCAGACGGATAAGTGTCAAAAAAAGAATCATCCTCACTCAGCTAATCAGCTCAAAGCATCAACCATTACCTCACTGGGTAAAAATTAAAGACAGCATGTAGTCGTAGTCAGATTTGTTCACAAAATGTTGCTTTCAGAAAACTTTTTCTGTTGGGACAAACAATGTTAAAGCTGAGGTACCTCATCAGAGGTGGTGAGGGTTCAAATTGCAGGTCAAACTATAGACAAAAAACAAAAATGCTTCTTCAGTCTCAAAATTCTGACATGGAACATGTTGTTGCATATTCACTCTTCTTTTGTCTCAGTTTTGGTTTTAAATGGCTAACACCTGCTAGGTTCCATACCCACTGTTCCCAGAACATAGCTTATACTGCAGGCAAATATGACAAAACTCTGTTCTGGACTGCTCAGCGCTCTGGTTCAGTGCAGTAATTGGCCTTGGGTGAACATACACTGGCAGTAATGTATTTGAGAAGATATTGAAAAAGCTGATGAGGGAGACAGAGGATGTGTTGTAGAATACAAAAGTTAATAATGGTGGGGATTTTGACGAATGGATCTCTAAATGTATCCTGATATCAGTCTAAATTGCATTCCTTTGCACACAGTTTTGTATTTTTAATTTATACATTTTCTCATTGACTATGCAAGGTGCTTATACAGTAGATGAGGCTGTTTCACTTTCTGTGGAGGATAATGCATGCAGAAGCACTGTTGTGCTCTGTATATCAGTAAAATGCATACATATTCTCCTGAAGATGGCATCAGCAACACAGTGGAATCTTTCCCTTCTGTCATCACACAGACACACTGATTGTGTCTAAAAGAGTCATGGGCTCAACACTTACACAATGTGCTTTTGAGTACATGCATATCATTTTATTGCTGCATATATCACCCCACACCAAGGCATCCAAAAAGAGAACATGATCTATACCAAAACATTAATCATCATTCATTGTATGTTAATAAATTCAGAATTTCTCCATTTACCATGCGGACGTCCATGCGTGCGTGGAAATGCAACCTTTCCAGAGCTCATAAATCACACACACTGAGTCATCTGACAAAGTACCCAAAACACAGGCTGAGGCGTGCGATCCCCAGGGCACAAACACACGTTGTCTAATGTGGTGGAATCAGAGAGGGGACCAGGGCTTTCTGATCCGTCTCACTGATGCTCTAGTGACAAACCAAGATGCACACGTTGGAACATGGGACAATAACAGCGAGTCGAAGGGGACTGTGGGATGCCTCTGGCCTCTGCATTACTTTTTGCTCCTGCACAGTGCCTCTCTGTCTCTGTCTGCAGCCTGCTTGCTCTCCTTCACAGTATCTCCAGGGGCTAAGGCCATGTACAAAACAACTCACTCCTTTGGGGTTGGTCCTTAGTTATGGTGTGAGTCACCTTTTTGTTGTCTTAGGCAAAAACAAACACTTTTTACATGTTATTTTTTATGCCTAGTTCACACAGGCTTGATGCGGTTTGTGACTCACACTAGCTACCAAAGGTCTCTGGTGGTCTTTAAAGCCGCACTCAAGATATGCTGTATTCATACAGTAATTAAACAAATAAACAAGGAAAAGCAATGCAAAGAGCTGCTGTATGCTGTTCATAAAATTTCCAAACGCACTACACACACTGGCCCTCATTTATGAAAAGGGTGTATATTTTGGGTGTATATTCCAAATACGCAAGACCCTACGCGGGATTTATGAACGTGCAAGATCCGCCCAGATCTGAGCGTACGAACAGCGGCTTTTGATAAATGCTGCGGCTGAAAATGAACGTATTTATTAAAGTCACGCCTAGAAATATGCAGCAACCACCTGTTTCACGCCCTGTTATTACAACAATTGAGAGGAAATGGCAAAGAAAAATCACTTCACGGAGCAGGAGATTGAGACCATCATGAACGAAGTGGAAAAAAAATAGTCTTACTATTTGGAATCCTCAAAAGTGGCATCAAAGCTCAAAAAAGAAAATATGGAAAGAGATGACAGCATCTGTAAACAGCGTGGGGCCTGCACTCTTGAAGAGGTGAGTTTATTCATGTTTGAAGGATTATACCCTATACCAGCCATTCCCAAACTCAGTAACACCGAGGCCCCCTTAAAAATCTGACGGGTCTGCGTGGCCCCCCCAAAATAATAACCAAGAAGACAACATTAAGAATAGGCTCTTCTGGTTATTTTATTTTGGGGAAATAGCCTCTGCTACAAACATTGTAATACAAAAATGATTACAGTGGATTATTCAAGTCAAATAATGAACACAAATATTTTAATATTACAAACAAAACATTATAAATTTAACATTAAATAATTATATTATTATTTTTTTTTTTTAATGACCTCCCGCGGCCCCCTGCAGTACCCTCGCGGCCCACCAGGGGGCCGCGGACCCCACTTTGGGAGACACTGCCCTATACTATGTCAAACACTACTGGTGAAAAAAATTGAGCGACCTTAAAATGGTAACAAAAAGGCGTTTAGCAGCTCATAGAAGAAGTGCTCAGCAGCCCAGGGGGAGGACCGCCAGACCAAAGCATCCACAAGAAATTATTAAGAAATAAAATTATCTTCAAATTATATATGTGATTATTATTTTAAAATGGTTGATTGAGAGCCTGTCTGAGCTGTACAGGCAGAAGGCGGTGCTGGCCATGGTCTCTCATCCATGGTCTCTCATCCATGGGCTGCTCCACCAGTGCCTCCAATGGCACATCGTGAAGCTGAGCCTGTTGTGGAGAACCGAGGCAGGATCATATGTTTATTGTTGTCCAAATCTTGATCATAATATCATTCCATGTTAATGACCACAGTATTTGCAGGACACCTTCTGATATGCAAAATGCTTGGCCTGCAAGTGTCTGTATGTATGGAAATCCAGGAAAAATAGAGATCAATAGTGTACTGAACAGACTGCATTATTTATTCCCCCTTTTCCTTCCTCTCTCATTTTCCTCATCTTACTCCCTTTGGGTCTCTGGATCTTTCCCCATTTCTTCTGTGTTGCCTGTGCCTATCCCTGACTCCCTTGAGAGGGGAGAACTTGTGGTTATTTCTGACTCTGGAATATGGTCGTGACTAATTGATTCGACATCTGATGGAATGTGTGTAAGGTCTCTTTTTTCCCTACCGCATCTTCAGTCTTGCCATTTGCTCACACAAGCTGGGACTACGCATGTATTGTGCATATATGTATGTACTTTACTGTATGATATGAAAAATGTGTTTATGCCAGCACTGTCTGTTTCCCTGTAAACCCCACATAGTGTCCCCTGTAATCTAAATTATTACTGGACTGTTTGATCCCGTCCTTGGAGAGCAGACATTCCTGTATACCAACACATTCCCACAGGTCCCATAATAATGGATTATATGGCTAACACTCAAAATACACCCACTTTTGTATCCGTTAGATCACTTTGTATTACTTTGCATGTTGCCATTATGTTGCACCAGATAAAAACAATTGAATGCATAGGCAATTTGCCGTGGGAACTAATTCACCTATTGAAGTTTTGCGCAGCTTTTTCCCTCTCCCTAAAGTCTACCTCTCCTCAGGTCTTCTGTCTTTGTCTTTGCTTTGCCATTTTGGGGAGAGTCCAGAGACCTAATGAAGCGGTTCTGATGGGCCGAGTCCCAGCGGTCTTCTTGGAGCTGTAGCAGGCTGCTGTTGATGCCCTCTCCAAAGGACTTAATTGATCTAATCATTTAGCCAAGTGGTCAAAGTAATCAGTCTCTTGTGGCTGCACAGAGAAAACAATGACAAGTGTTTAGTGGCTTTGGGCTGCATTCCAGTTTTATGTAAGATATAGAAATAACTTCTTCAGTGTTTGTTTGGAGAACTCCTTTCTTTCAGCTGTCTTGTTTTCTAACCTATGGTTTGTGGTAGCTTGAAACATAAATTTCAGGCTTGCACACTTTACTTTTAATAAACAATGAACAGTGAAGTACCATATACGAAGCTACCTTCATTTACATCTTTAAAGGTCTGCGAGGCAAGGCTCAATGAAACTTCGTTCATAAGGAAGACACATTTAGTATATCGTCCGGATATGAAGAAGGCCACTAGGGAATGATCAAGTGTGCATCCCATCGACCCGCATCCTCTTCCCCATTACCCTGACATTTCATCCCTACTTTAATTCCAGGCCTTTCTAAAGAGCAGGTAATAGTGCAGAGGGGTACAGGGACCCAGAATTAAGCAGTTTTACACCGAAGGGTAATTTGGTGTGATGAATGTGCCGTCGCTGGTAACTAATAATACATATTTTAAGTAGCAGCAGTGCAGCTC